TAAAACCCTAAACCCCTTAATACTCTGACTGCATAGGTTCGATTGTGAGCATATGACGCGCTCAAGCAATGTGGCTCGAACAAGCCTTGAGGGTTGTTCAGTCGGGAGTTCTTACGAACTGGTGGGGCCTTGGCTGCCCCAGCCATTGCCAGGGCTCGGTCTTGGTTTTGGTTCTTTCCTTTGTCTGCGGTGGTTGCTTGGGGGTGGTTTTTACTCTGTGGTTCTTCAGGGATACTCTTTTCAAGGTGCCCTGCCGGGATCCCTTCTCTACCCCTCCGCCTCAGCCTACCACAGCCAGGAGGCCTTCTGAACTTCGTCTCCGGTCCTACTTGAATGAGTGATCGGGACCTTTCCCAGGCCATTCACCACCTCGCCGACTCTCTTCAGCAGCTTTCTTTGGCCATTCGCCCCGAGGACCCCCCTAGTGGTTCTAGTGACGGTTGGTTGCTAGTTAGTCCCGACGACCCTGTCGAGCCGGGTTCCCGTGCGGCTCCAGGGCCCCCCGCGCAGCACCATTCAGCACTTGCACCAGGGCAGCTTACGGCCCGCTACAATCTCCTTGAGGCTTCCTTTGCTCCTTTGCCTGAGCACTGCCTTTGGACTTGCAGGTCTCTTACAGGTGCCGGCTCTACGCCCTTGGCTCGTGCCACCCGTGCCTGGACTTCTGGACTTTGGGCAAAGCTTGTGCTTGAGGATCAGGTCCCCACGCCCCGCCCTGCCAGCCGACTTCCTGCAGCCTTGCGACCTAGGTTCTACGTGGTCTTGCGGTGTGAGGGGTTGTCTTGCCCCAGGCTTTTCTCTTCAGGGCGTCTGTTCAAAGAGGCCGTTGGTTCTTTGGAAGGGAGCCAGACCGTCTGCCAGTCTTTTGCATCGCTTGCCGAAGCTGCCGTGTACTGCGAGGCCGCCGGCTTCGCCCTCCCGTCGGAGCAATGACGGACTTGGCTACCTTTGTGACTCTGGCCGATGGCCAGCTGAGGTTCCTAGCACTGAGTTGGCCGGAGGAAGGTCGTACCGTTCCGGTGCCAGAGGCCGTGTGTGTGCCCGTGATGAAGAGGCAGGAGGGGCTCCTGCTTTGCATTCCCTGCGGCTTTTTGTCTCTTGCCACCTTGGACGAGGGAGAGAATGCCGACGCCCACTCCTTGGTGGGCCCTTCCCATCAGTGCACCGTCCCCTTTGCAGTTTCGGACGAGCAGGGTGTCGAACAGCCTTTGGAGATGGAGGGCTCAGTGCTACTTGTGGATTTTGGGGCCCGGGTTCTTCCTCAGCTGCGAGACCTGGGCGAGGACATCATCTCAGACGCCCTCTTCCCCTTCGACCTTCACCAGCTCGAGGCCGTTCCGATGAGCGAGGAGTTGCTTGCTGTCGCGAGGAGGTGGGCTTCTGTGACTCAAGCCGACCGGGCCGCCTTTTACTCTGCGGTCGAGGATCAGGCTGCGACCGATGTGGGCGCAGGGGGAAAAGCCAAGGCAAAACGAGCGGCCCCAAAGAAGAAGGTCACTGCTGCGGACCTTGCTCAGCAGATGTCCTTCCTTACTGCTATGCTACCTCAGCTGGCCGAGCAACTGACGGCGGTCAAGGAGAAGCAGGAGGACCTCGAAAAGAAGGTGCAGCCTGGACCCCCCGATCCCGCGCCGAGTCCGGCCAAGCCTGCTCATCAGATGCCCTTTCTACCTCCGCGAGGTCCAGGCCTTCCTGTGGCGAAGCAGGCATCACTAGTGGGGCCGCCACCTCGCACCCGCAACCAGGATGCTCCGCCTGTTTTGGCTGCTCCTCTACCTCTGGCTGCCGAGCCCGCTGCAGCAGGTGTTGGTGCGGTCCCTCAGGACAGCTTCCAGGCGGCCATGCTTCAGCAGAGCCAGGCCCTTACTGCCCTGGTCGGCCATCTGATGTCACAGCAGGACGGCGGGTTGGGCGACTTGTCCGCCTCGAGCTCTACAAGTTATGTGGGTTCCAAGGGGGCTGCCCGTCGGGAGAGGCTACAGGCGGCCCTTGCAAATCGGAGCGGCGACTTCTACCTTGCTGTGTTGCAGGCGGCCGCCACGAGGTTGACACCGTCTTCCCCAGCCCCGGCATCCTTAGGAGAATGCTTGGGGCAGGTGTCGATGTGCCAGTACTTCGAGCGTTTCGGCGGGTTTGCTGGGCAACGGGAGACGGGCTACACCATGTGGTGCCTGGCTCATGTCATGGACTGCCTCACTTCGGAGGATTACGCTGGGGCCCGGGAGTTCTTGGCTGTGACGGTCGTGGCGCTAGACCAGTCTGCCTTGGACGGAGGCAGGTGGGACTTCGCTTGGCTGTTGACTTTGCTAGAAGAGCCCCCTGCTCAGTTATTTCACGGGCGGGGGGCGGTGGCCAACCCGCGAACTCGTGCGTTCTCTCCTTTGTCTCCGGTCGGCTGGACCACCTGCGCTCTGCAATACCTCAAGGAGGTCGATCTGATCACGACCCGCAGGCTGGAGTCTTTGGGTTCACATCGTCAGCCGGCCGCGCCACCCGCCGCGGACACAGAAGGCCAAGATGGCAACAAGCCGAAAAGGCCCCCTCGCTACCCAAAGAAAAGCCGCCCCGAAGGATCGAAGTGAGGTGCTCGCGGCCCCCTCCTGGACTTCTTCCTTCAGCCAGCGCCTGTGGGTTTGAATCAGTCGTGGGTTTTGCCTCATGGGTTTCTGGACTTCTTCGAGCCGTCCTCCGCACGAGGACCCCCTTTTCTGCGTTCCTTTTATCGACTCTGCACCTGCCCAGGCTTTCCCGGCCTGCTCCGCCTTCGGGGGTGATCTTCCCGGTGCCCCTTCCTTTTGCTGGTGTTTTCGCCCGCTTCCCTTTGGATTGCAGCTCGCGTGTTCGGAGACGCATCATGCACCGGCGTCTCGTTCACATCGTTTGCATGGCTTTGAACTTTCTCCATGCGAACTTTGTGCCAATCCCGCTGCCTATGATCCAACGGCCTATGAATGTTGCACAGCGATGCCTAGTTGCGCATGTAGGCCGCCATTTGAAGGCGTTCGGTGCCTCGGTTGGTGAGTTTGTTCTTGCCGGCTCTGGCCGCCGCAATCCCCAATTGATTGCACGACTTTCTGAGCTCATGTCTTTTCTTGCAGCCTCGGCTGCCACGGGGGACTCTTACGCTGATCGTTCAGGCACTGTGGTCCCGACGCACAACGAAGCCCATCCTGGCCTGGATCCTTTTAGGTCTTTGGATGTTTCGAGGTTGAAGCTCTCGGGGCAGGGCCTTTGGGACCCTACCCCGTATCTCCCGGATGAGCTCTTCATGGCTTTCTCCGAGCCCCGCTCTCTTCTTCATGGGCGCCCGCCTCCTGACTCCTTCGTGCCTGTCTGGACTCGTGAGTGCCCTCAAGAGGTAGCCTCCCTTGCTGCTATGTGGGACAGGCTTGGTCTTCTTCGCCTGGCGCCCGCTTCCCTACTTGAGTCTGAGGCTTATCTGCTGGCACGCGCTTTCAACTGCTACAAGGCGCCAGACAAGGATCGTATGATCATTGATCGCAGGGGCCAGAACTGGGCCGAATCTCGGCTCCCTGGCCCTAGCCTCTTCATACCTGTTGGGCCCATGCTGGGCATGCTAGAGGTCGACCCCGCCCGCCAGACGGTCTACTGCGCAGCGTCCGATCGTAAAGATTTTTATCATCAGATTGCTGCCCCTCCCGCCAAGGCCTTGTCTAACGTGTTGGGCCCAGCTCTGCCTCGCGAGAGTGTCTGCAACTTGGCGGCTTTTGGTCACGTGCTGCCCTCCCTTTCTGGACTTGGGTGTGCCGGTGGGCCTCGTCACAGGTTGGCTCCTCCAAAGCGTGGCTCGTTGCTTTTTGAGCCGAATCACTACCTTGTCTGTTTCGGGGCTATCGCCCAGGGCGACCATTTGGGAGTCGAGGTCGGTTCGGCCTCGCATGAGGGTCTTCTTCTCTCTGGTGGACTTCTTTCAGAGGACGTTCGGCTTTGTTCCAACAGACCCTTCAAGGGCATTGCCAGGGCCCAAGGCTTGGTTATCGATGATTTCTTTTCGATCAGCGTGTCTGACCTTGCCGATGGCGGCCCACCTCCTTGTGTTGATGATCTGCATCGTGCCAAAGCCATCTATGCGGCGGCCGAGCTCGCTGGCTCAGATGACAAAGATGTCTGGGGGGAGCAACGTGCACGCATTGCGGGCGCCGAAATTAACTCCGGTCCGCACGCTCGTGCCCTCAACATCGTCACCGTTGCCGCCCCTGCCGCGAAGCGTGTTGCTTTGGCTCTGCTTTCTCTTGAGGCTGCCCGCCTGAGCCACGTCACTGACACTCTTTGGCTGTCGCTCGTTGGCAGTTGGACTTCGGCGGCTTTGTTTCGGAGGCCTTTCATGTCGATTTTCTCCGAGGTTTACAGAGTTGCTCCTGCTAGCCACGCCAAGGCCGCCAGGCCCACCTTGTACCCCCTCCCGAGGCCTGCCGCGCAGGAGGTTGTGCTTGCGAGCGTGCTGTCGCCTCTTGCTGCTTGTGACCTTGCTGCCCCCTTTCGAGCCGAGCTCTTTGCAACTGATGCCTCTGAGGCAAAGGGGGGTTATACTGTTGCCAAGGCTGGTGTCGACCTTATCCGGCCTCTTTGGAGGACTGCCTCAAAGAAGGGGGGCTACAGCAGGTTACTTTCGAAGGAGGAGGCCGTTCTCACGAGATTTGAGGACCGCGAGCCCTTTGACCTGCGAATGGTCTCTCCTACCTCGCAGACCGATCCTGGTCGGCCGCTTGCTTACTACTTTGACGTGCTCGAGGTTGGGGCCTCCGGTGGCCAGGTGTCTGCCTTCCTCTCCTCGTGGGGTCGCTCCGTTGGGCCCGTGTTCGCTGTTGAAGTGAGCCCTGTCTACGACTTGGCGCAGGATCGTTCCTTTGAGTGGGTTCTTTTCCTGCTGCATCATAGGAGAATCAAGTGCCTTCTCCTGGTGCCTCCTGCTCTTCAGCCTCCTTTGCAGGCCCTCGACGTGCTGCGTGCTTTTCGGTGCTTGGCTCTGCTTCTCAGTGCTCGCGGCTGTTCTGTGCCAGCCCTTCTTCTTCAGGTTGGCTCCTCTGAGCTTACGTCTCGCCCGCAGTGGCTTCGACTTACGCGTCTGGGTGCTTCTCAAGGGAGCACTTGCTTTTGTGCCTTTGGCGGTTCGGGTTGCAAGGGCTGTAAGTTCCTTGCTTTTGGCCTGGACTTGGCCCCTCTTTCAGTGCCAGGCTGTTGCGGAGCTTTGCCTTTGAAGCCCGTGGTGTGTCAACAGCCTTTTCTCCCCCGTCTCCTGGCCAGAGCTCTTGCCACTGAGCTCGACCGCGTCGTGCGCCGCATCTCTCATGTTCGGGCCCTTGTCAGGCTGCACCCTGAAGGTCTTGAGAGCTGCGTCCTGAATGATATTGTGCTGTCTTTACGCTGGGAGGAAGGCGCCGCCTGGTCTTGGCGGGCTTCTGCACATATCAATATCCTCGAGGCTGCCTCCATCCTCCGCCTCATCCGTGCTTTGGCGCCCTCGGGCCCCTGCCGTGTCGTCATCTTGGTGGACTCGGCCGTTGCTCTCCACTCTTGTGCTAAGGGCCGCAGCCCTTCTAAAGGTTTGACTCCGGTCCTGCGAAAGGTTGCCGCGACCTGCCTTCTTGCCGGTGTCTTCCCTGCGTTCCACTTCGTCCCTACAAGGCTGAACCCGGGTGACTGTCCCACTCGTGACCTTCCTCTGCCTGAGCCCTGCCCGTGCGCGTTCTGGCCTTCCCTTACCACTGACGAACTCTACGAAGGCTTGTCCCTTCCGAAGCTTCGCCGTTGGGCCTCGAATTGGGCTCGTCTGGTTTTCCTGTGCATTGGTGCTCCGCCTGTGCTTCGGCCTTCCTTAGGCTGGCGTGTGACTCACCGCACCTCACGTCTCTTCGACTCCTCTTTAGGGTTTCCCGGCGAGGGTCCTTTCTTCAGGGTGTTCTGGGTCTGGTTTGGGATAGTAGGCTCCTATGCCGCCACAAGCCATGTCCTTCGCCCGCGCAACCCTGCAGACGAAAGGCGCTCTAGAGCGCGCTCTGCCACGGTGCTTGTCGAGGGTCGTCCCGTGGAACCTGTGACAAAGAAGCGAAGGGAGAAGCTCCTGCAGGCCTTCTCGGCATGGCTCACAGAGCAGGGGGCTGACCTGGAAAGTCTTCTGGACCTCTCACCTTTGGGTACAAAGAAGCTTAACAGTTTTTTGGTGTGTTACGGCAGGCAGCTTTTCGATGCTGGGTGGCCTTATTCTCACTACTCAGAGGTCATCAACGCCGTCTCCAGTAAGGAGCCTGGAGTCAGGCGTTGCTTGCAGCCCTCGTGGGATCTGGCATTTGCCTGGCTTCGAGAGGAGCCTCACTCGCACCATGTTGCTTTGCCCTGGCAGGTCCTTGTCGCGGCCATCACGCTCTCGCTGTTGTGGGGCTGGCCTCGAGTCGCCGGCATGCTGGCAATGACCTGGGGCTCGGTTATGCGGATTGGTGAGTCTCTGGCAGCTTGCAGGCGCGACCTGCTCCTTCCAGGAGACGTCTGTGACACGATGGCTTTTGCGCTCATTTCTATAAGTGAGCCTAAGACCCGTTTTCGAGCTGCAAGGCACCAGTCGGCGAAACTGGATCAACCTGACCTTTTGGAAGTTGTCCATTTGGCGTTTGGTCACCTGAGTTTGGACAGTAAACTCTGGCCTTTTTCGGCATCAACTCTTCGTTGCCGTTTTGACGCTCTCATGGACAGGCTGGGAGCAAACACTTGGGCAGGCCAGGGCTCGCGAGCCTTGGACCTAGGCTCGCTGAGAGCGGGAGGCGCCACTTGGTTGTTACAAGTTTCGGAGGATTCTGAGCTGGTTCGTCGTCGCGGGCGCTGGCTCAACAGCAGGACAATGGAGATCTACATCCAAGAGATTTCAGCTTTGCAATTTATGCATCGCTTGGCCCCGCAGTCGCGCTTTCGGGTCTTCTCCCTTGTGGACTCCTTTCGTAAGGTGCTGAGCCTAGCCCAGCAGCTTCAGGCCTCTTCGACGCCGACGAGCCAGTGGTACACGTTTTTCGCCGGTGGCATGCGTCATATGCAAGGTGTGGAAGGTGTGGTTGGAGGCTAACGTGCCGAGTTTTTCACTTTGGGACACCCGCCTACGCTGGTGCAGCAAAAAGGCGGCCTGCAGTCTGAAGCGAGCTTGAGAACCTGACTGCATAGGTTCGATTGTGAGCATATGACGCGCTCAAGCAACCCGCCACTCCACGCCCTCCGCCACCGGCTAACGTGCCGAGTTTTTCACTTTGGGACACCCGCCTACGCTGGTGCAGCAAAAAGGCGGCCTGCAGTCTGAAGCGAGCTTGAGAACCTAAAAATATAGGCAAATCCCATACA